GAACTGTGTCAGCCTCATGGCCTCCCAATTAATTATTTTAACAAAACTAAATGGATAGAATTTACCTGTGTTGCAGTGTATCCTAGAGCAGTTTGTTTAGTCTTCTTGGAGAGGAAGATACCAAAATGAAGTTAAATATGCAAGAAATGTATTAGCGGAAATATCTGTAGAAAATTTGGAAGGAACTTGAAGAGGCTCAGAGAACCATCACACCTATGCTAATCTGATCCTGAGTGAATGGGGAAAAAGAAGTAAAGGGCCATCACTATGGTTCACGCCTGCAATCCCAGGACTTTGGGAGGTCGAGGCAGGAGGATTGCTTGAGCCCAGGAGTTCTAAAACAAATTAAAAAATTAGACTGGTGTGGCAGCACGTGCCTATACTCCCAGCTACTTGGGGGGCTGAGGTGGGAGGATTGATTGAGCCCTGGAGGTTGAGGCTACAGTGGGCTGTGATCACACTACTGCACTCCAGCCCAGGCAACAGACTGAGATCCTGTCTCTAAGAAATAAAAATTAAAAAGAAGAAGTAGAGGAAGGTTGTGTGGCAGTTGTTATAAGGAAAGTTCAGCAAGGTGTGGAGCCTAAGCCCCCATCAGTGGAATGTCATATCTCCTAAACGTAAGCCTCCCTAAGTAACTGTGCCATGCCCTTGCCTGAGAGGTGCCCATGAAAAACGTCGTCTTAGTGCAAGCATAGTAACAGATCTCTGAGCCCAGTAGCTGGAGCCCTCAGTCAATTACTCTTCCTGCTAAGATCAAATATGTGCTTTTACTCGGTCACAAGATTCTCAAAATTTAATGTACATGCAAATCGCCTGGGAATCTCATTAAAATGCAGATTCAGTAGTTCTGAGGTAGGGCCTAAGTTTTTGTACTTCTAAAAAGTACAATAATATGCCGTTGCTTCACAGAACTCACTTTAAGTAGCAAGGGCCTAGAAAATACTTGAAAGCATCTTATTTAGACCATCTAAATAGGTTATAGAGAACTCTTCACAGGTTTAATGCCTCACCCCTGATATACCAGGAAACTGCTGAAAACAGATATACACAACTCTAAGTTAGGATTTTGCCATTCAAATAATTAATTTCTCCTTGAGTAAAATCACAGCTGTCAACTCCCTTTTGCCATGCTACTTGTACAATCCCTTTATAATTATCTCTGTGTCACGTGCATATGTGCCTTCAATTTTGGTACCAAGAGAGGACTTTGACCTCGATGATGTCAATCATATCCTTTTCCCCCTCCAATTATTTGGTATGGACAGTTTGTTTCTTAATCTTAAGCAAAACATTTTAAGCCCTTCCTAACAATATTGGGCTCCCAAAGCCATCCTACATAGAGAGTCTGGTGCAGCCAGTTAGCATAAATATACCTTCTAGGTGGGAGTTCTCAGGGATTTGGGCATGTGCATTTCCTCCCAATTGCCTGAAGATTTGTGCAGTTATCCTAGCCGTGTTGCCATTTGTCTATCGTGAAACAGATCTGTGTCCTTCCTTCACTTGAGTTACTGCCATCTTTGCATATCTTGGCTCAATCTTGTATTATGTCTACTGCATAAAATAGCAGTTTCATACTTTCCAGAAGCCATGGATTTCTTTCTTCAAAGAATGCTTAGGTAAAGTAGATTAAGCTGGTATGACTGAAACGGTGAGAGATGAAATTAGAGAGATGAGCAGGAACATATCTCGTGAGTTAAGGTGTTTAAGAAGTTATCATGAAAGCAAGGGGGAGCAACTAAAGGATTTCAAGGAAGCAGACCCAGTCAGACTTGCACATTTTGATTACTTTGGCAGAGGTGAGAGAGGAGGATAACTTGAAGAAGGTCCAGAAAGACTAGGAAGGAGCATATGAGGATATACGGGATATCAAGGAATCAGAGTCGTCAGAACTTGCTGCCTGGGTATGGAGGCAAGGAATAAAGACTATAAGTAGTATACTTATAGTATGTCTTCCAATTTCCAATCTTGGACAACTATGGTGCAAGGGTCCAAGGGTGGTCAATTATTGAATTGGGGAACATAGAGGAATAAGTTTAGGAAAAAGCGATTGAGTTCATTTGTGAACATACTGAGTTTAAGGGAGATAGCCAGTAACCATCTGAGTAAATGGATATGTACATCACCAGAATCTGGCTTAGAGATCCCTCTTAGATCCAGGACTGTGTTGTTATTTGCAGAGTATTCTCAGTTTCTGTTTAGGCAACTGCTCAAAGTTTATACCAAGTAGTCTTTTTCAACTGAATTGTCTATAATGTCTTGTTTTTTTCCCAACACGTTCTTCAAAATGTTGCCTGCAATGCTTGTTACTTTAAATTACTTCTCTCCTTCTCTTTTCAAAGGGCTCCTTGCATGTCCAAGTTTGGGGCTTATTCAGAGTTCTGAATAAGGGTTACATGCCAATACAGGCCAGGGAAATGAGGAGGGGTCCCTTTGGCAGAAAGAGGCATTTCCATTTAGAATTTGAGCTCGAGGCTGCATGCAGTGGCTCACGCCTGTAATCCCAGCAATTTGGGAGGCTGAGGCAGGAGGATTACTTGAGGTCAGAAGTTTAAGACCAGCCTGGCCAACATGGTAAAACCCAGTCTCTACTAAAAATACAAAAGTTAACTGAGCATGATGGCATGTGCCTGTAATCCCAGCTACTTGGGAGGCTGAGGCAGGAGAATTGCTTGAACTTGGAAAGCAGAGGTTGCAGTGAGCCAAGATTGTACTCGCCCCCCCCCCAAAAAAAAAAAGAATCTAAACTCAAAAGAAGACTTAAAGGTTGTAGCTATGAGGAAATAGGAATTAACAGAAAATTATCAGTGTAATCTGTAGAAGATAAGATGGCCTGGGTTGCTATGACACATGGTAAGAATAGAGGTACTATGTGCAACTTATTGAGTATATTGTGCTTTGTTTGGAAGGCTAAGTTTTAACATGGCGTTCTCAAACTTGGGTTTTAAAGTTCTAGTGGGGCTGCTGAGAGGGAGGGAGTACTGCTAAGTACTTGGACTTCAGTCCTATTTCCACTTCAGCCAGAACAGTCAATCTTATTTTCATTTCAGCCAGAACAAATTTGTTTTACATAAACTTTCTTTGAAGAAAAGATTCCATGGCCTTTAAAAAAAAGTGATTTAAGGGTGAAAATCGTTATGTTTGCATAGAAGCTGTAAGAAATGTGAAAAGGTCAGTGAAGAAAGAATTCAGGGATGGGTTTGGTGGCTCACACCTCTAAACCTAGTGCTCTGGGAGATTGAGGAGGGAGGATCACTTGAGGCTAGGCATTTGGGACCAGTCTGGGCAGCATAGTGAGATCCCCCCCATCTCTACAAAATAGATAAATAAATAGCTGGGTGTGGTGGCACATGCCTATAGTCCTAGCTACTAGGGGAGCTGAGGCAGGAAGATTGCTTGAGCCCAGGAGGTTACAATGAGTTACGTTGACAGACCAAATATGTTACAATGGTCTCATAAGACTATAATACCATAATTTTACTTTTTCTATGTTTAGATACACCAATACCATGTGTTACAATTGCCTATTAGGTACAGTAACATGCTATACAGGTTTGTAGCTTAGAAGCAACAGGCAACACATAGCCCAGATAAGTGGTAGGCTATACCATCTAAGTTTATTACTCTGAAGTTCCCACGATCTCCATGAAACTGCCTAAGGGCAAATTTCTCAGAACTTATCCAATCTTTAAGAGATACATTACTATATGTCTGGTTCACTGATTTACTTTTGTTCCCTTCACATCTTAGCCCTTTAAAGGCAATGTATGACATACGATTTTGCATATCCAATGTTTAGCACAGTAAGAGCCTAATAAATGTCTGTTGAATTAATAAATCCGCAAGGCTTATACTCAAAGTAATAAAAGTGGAATTCTCTATGGTTATTGAACTCCTAACTCTGAGAAGAGTTTTACTTATTTTTCTCTACAATGATTTATCTTAAGAGAATGGTTTTAAAGGGGGCCAGGAAAATACCCATGATTAAGGAAGAAGAGAGGGGAGATGTAATATTTTGAGTTTTTGTGTATCATGTGTGAAGGAAAGTGAAGCAAGCAAGGATAAAATGCCTTGCAATCAAGAAAATGCCTCGATTGAAGTGTCTTGAATAAGGCGGTTGATATAATTCATAACCAATGTATTAGAATGTCATCGCACGTTTGTTGTGAGCGAGGGAGTAATGACAAACTGATTCATTTTTTGGGAAAATCCATCAGTGCTCCTTATGTCGACTGGCATAACTAGTGTCTCACACAAAAGTTGCCCCCAGACTATTCAGGGAGACTAAAGAAAACGATCACAATACAACAGTGAATGGGAGAATAAGGTTTCTCCTCAAGCTTTCAAAATCACCTCCTGCCTTCTCTGTTTCCCAGTTTTGGTGAATCAAACCTATCTTTACCAAAATCTGACAAAACTTAAAATGTGTTAAAAACAAGCAAACAAAAACTCTGCCTAGGCATGTAAAGACGAATCTGGGACTGTGGACTGAGGTTTGAGTCCTGGGACGCGGCTGTAAACTTGACTTCCCAATGTCTCTTGGGCGTTCCCAAGGCGCCAAGCCTGCAATGGGCAAACAGAAGCCCCCTGCCCCAGCGCATTCCCAGGAGACAGAGCCGAGAAGGCCTCCGGCAGCTCCTCTGGAGGACCGGTTTTCCCTGTGTCTCTGCCTTACCGGAGAGCCGGAAGGCGGGAATGCAGGATGGCGGGCGCAAGGGCCCAACGGAGAACTCCACGCAAAAGCCAGGGGGCCAGGAGCCCCTCGCACTAGTCAGCCTGCAACCCGGAAGCAAACGCTCGCGGCGCGGCGTGGCAGGGTTGCGGTTCCGGGTCGGGCCTCGCCGCAGTCAGCTTTAGGCTCACAGCCGCAGCGCCCCGCCCCCGCTTTCCGGACCTGGCAGGCGGCGGCTGCAGGGCTGCTCCCGGGGCCACATGGCTGAGGGGGACGCAGGGAGCGACCAGAGGCAGGTGAGGCCCCGGCGGGGTGCTGACTTTCCAGGCTCGGCTCGGGCTCGCCTCGCCATTCCAGTCCTCCTCAGCCGAGGGGCCCTCTGCCCGGGGCCGCCGCGGCTTCCTCCAGCACTGGCCGCGCCATTTGCTCCACAGCGTACCATTCTCCCGGCGCTTCCCCTCAGCCGAGCTCTCTTAGGCCGGCAGCTCCTTGGCGGCTGCTGGCTCGGCCTGTCTCGGACGGTGTCCTCGTCAACCATTAACACGCGACGAAGCAGCTCTGGGCCGAAGGCAAAAACCAGGGTTTCGCTCCCCACCCTGCCGTCGCCGGGTCGTCTTGGACAAACCACTTAAGAATTCGGGTTCTCTCTTTGGCAAAAGGGCAATAACCCAAATCCTGTAGGTCCTCGAGAGCCTACCGAATTTTACTCCTTTTGTCCTTAGTATCGAGCTTTCCCTGTGCCTCGTTCACGTGGGCGATCATAAGTCTTTTCCTACAGGGCTGTGAGTACAAAATGAAATGCTACGAAGTCGAATCCATACTTTGCTTCCCATTTTTTTCCCTTTAGGTCCTTCTTTTTTTAACCCCAAGCCCAAAGAATAATTATTTTTCTTTTTTAACCCGAAGCCCAAAGAATAATTTATGAAATGTTTTAAGGGTTTGATTACCAACCAACCAACCAGCTATCCAAGCCCTCTGTACTCCCACCCCCATCCCCCCACACAAAATTGAATCCAAAAGAACGAGTGAGACACCCAGCAGGAGTACACAGATAATGTGGGACAGAGCTGTTGAGGGGTGGGAGTCAGGGGTGGAGATTACCTGTTAAAAAAGAGAAGGTGGAACAGAGAAGATAGGTGTGTCTTTTCACGTGTGAATGATCATTACAAAGTATAGGACTGCATACAATATTTTGGCTCAATAGTGGCCATAAGCACAGTAATGCGATAGCAAGGCTGGCTCCAGTCATTGGAGTAGCGCCTAGCAACCAGTCACCCAGAGAAGAACATGGTGACCTGCTCTTGAGAACATTTGGCTTGCTAAGGCTCATCTAGGAATCTACACTGGTAATGTTGAATGCAAATACCTTGCAAAGTAGTTAAGAATAGGAATTTAAGATGTGTACATTTGTTGACTTTAAAAAAATCCGTTTCTTTCAGAATGAGGAAATTGAAGCAATGGCAGCCATTTATGGGGAGGAATGGTGTGTCATTGATGACTGTGCCAAAATATTTTGTATTAGAATTAGCGACGACATAGATGACCCCAAATGGACACTTTGCTTGCAGGTACTTTTTCCCCCTTCCCTGAAGTCTTTGTTACAGTGTTAATTATATGGTTGACTTTTGTATTCTAATGATTATTTTTGCTGTTTTCTAAATTATCTTTGTTGTTGGCATCTGTCAGTGATTATCTAAATGGGCAGTTACATCTTAGATCACTTTCAAATCATACATTAATTGATAGTTTCAGTCTTATCCCAATTCTTTTAATTGTTTAAAAGTGTTAATGTACCCTTGTGAGGCTGTTAGTTTTGTTTCTTTTCATTATTCTCTTCATTTACAAGGAAAGGGTCTAAACCTGGAAAGATGGCTAACATTTAAAAGGAAGGAGAGGTTAATAATGTAGGTGACTCATAGAGTAGACACTCATTTCTTTATTAAGAATCAGTGATCAATTATCAGTTGTAGTTAGGATAAAATAAATGAAAATATCAGCTATGGCTTTTCTTAGTGCTTAATCTTTGATGACTGCTTGTATGTACTTTCAACTTTTTGCCAGTGTTTTTATAATAATACAATTTGAAAAGAAATAATGTATGTTCTCTATTATATGTTGGCTGTTTCATATAGTTAATAGTGTTCCCTAGGATTTTTGTAGTATTTCGTCTGAAAACTACCCAGAAAATATTATGCCACTCCATTCACTTGGGTCAGGGTATAATGTCCATATTTCAGTTTTCCTTCTCCTTTCATCTCATCCTCCTCACCCTTTTATCCAATTGCCAGCTTAATAAATATGGTTATTTTTGAACCTTGATGAAGTGTAAACAGATTTGTTTTTGAACCTGCCTTGTAGGTGATGCTGCCAGATGAATACCCAGGTACAGCTCCACCTATCTATCAGTTGAAGTAAGCTGTATTTCTACCTTTATATTGTTATAAAAAGATTATACTTTGAAAGATATTTCTGTATACTGTATATTGCATTTAGATAAAATGCCTTATTAAAAAATATCTATAGAAATTAAGAATACCTTTTGGGTTTGGTATAGAACATTTAAATAAAAAATTAAATTCTATAAAACAATGAAATATACCACTTAGTGCAAAAGAGGTTCATAGAGGTGAAGTAGCTACAGAATTGTCTTTATAGATGAGGAAGGAAACTTTCCTTTTTAAACAGCTTAGTAATGTAGAAACCCTGGCCCTTAGAGTTTCTCCTATCCTAGTTTTGCTGACCTAGCCCCAGTTCCTTGATGTACCTCTAAGACTGCCTGCTTTCCAGAAGTTAACTGTGATGCTTCTGGTGTTTCTCCCTGCCCCTTTCCCTGGTTGATGTTGAGGAACCATCTTCTTAGCAGCCCAAGCTTAGTCTTTATGAATCATGACCTATTGATGCAAGTGATCTTTCATCTACCTTGGCCCCGTCACCTAGTAATATGTTATAAACCCTTGGGAACAGAATTGCATAAGAATTTCAATTACTAGGTTGGTCTGCGTGTAGACCAGTAATTGGTTTATAACCAGTAATTGATCACAACTGGTTACAGATTTCTTTGTTTCTTCTTCAATCCTACTGCTTCACTTAATTAGCCTTAAAAAAAAAAAAAAAAAACTCAATTACTAGAATTTTTACCTATTAGTTTTTTTGTGCATGTATTTTAAAACTGTAGCATTAATGCTTACTATTAATAATGGTTCTATAAATTTTTATTTTTATTTACTGCAAATGGTAGATACAGAATGCTTGTAAAAATAAATGTCCTTTTCAGAATTATTTTTTTACGAGCTGTTTTCGAGGCACCAGTTAGAAAAAATGGGGAATTCCTGGCATTGTAGCAAGTACTATGACTCTGGAGATTTAGATTCTAGACCCTTTTCTGCCACATAAATAAATGTGGGCAGATTCATGAAACCCTATGAACCTACCCCTGATTTTTATTTTTATTTTTGAGACAGAGTTTCACTCTGTTGACCAGGCTGCAGTGCAGTGGTGTGATCTCGGCTCACTGCAACCTCTGCCTCACTTAAATCATGGGTTCAAGTGATTCTCCTGCCTGAGCCTCCCAAGTAGCTCGGACTGTATGCATGTGCCATCATGCCTATGCATGTGCCATCTTGCCTGGCTAATTTTTGTATTTTTAGTAGAGATGGGGTTTCACCATATTGGCCAGGCTGGTCTTGATCTCCTGACCTTGGATCCACTAACCTCAGCCTCACAAAGTGCTGGGATTACAGGTGTAAGCCACCACGCCCAGCCAATTTTTAAATCATTAAAATAGAGTAATTTTGGTGTGGCTTTTGTCATGGTTTCTTGGGAAGACTGAATGAATTAATGCTAATGAAAGCATTTTGCAACTATATAGATTTATATAAATATAAGACTGCTTTTTAATGAAAATAATTTTTTTAAAACCAAAAATAATCTTATTTGTGATGTAATCAGTAATTAGAGATATAAACATAATCCTTGAATAATCTTCTTAATTGTATTTTATTTAATCTTAGTGCTCCTTGGCTTAAAGGGCAAGAACGTGCGGATTTATCAAATAGCCTTGAAGAAATATATATGTAAGTGACAGGTGATTTTTAAAAATAATTCTGTTAGTGATTATATTGTGGGCTTTTGTTAAACTTGTGAACCCTTTCTGCTTTAACAAAAATGATTCACTCGAAGAGACCTTCAACAGTTTGCTATATAATTTTATACTTTTGATATTGTCTACTTAGATAGAAGAATATAGTAATATTTAGCGCTAATAACTATAAAAAAGCACTTAGCCAAGCTGGGTTTGATGGTTGAGGTGGGAGGACTGCCTGAATCCAGGAGTTGGAGACTAGCCTGGGCAATATAGTGAGATCCCCATCTCAATCTCAATAAATTTAAAAAAAAAAATTTGTTAAAAGGATCTTACTTAAAAAACAAAAACACTTAGCCAATTTGTGAAAGTAAATTAAGAGATACTGCTCTTGCTTTGGTATTTTTATAGGCTATGTAGAATGAAATTAAAATGTCTATGTACTTTGAATAGTAATTTCTCTTGTATTAGGCCATAAGACTAAGAATCTATTGATAGGCTATATTTTTCATTCATTCCTTCATTCAACAAATATTACATGGCAGGCACTGTACTAGATCCTGAGTGCAGGTATGGTTAGCATAAATAGAAGTGCCCTTTTTCATGGCATTTAGAATTTATGGTGGGGGAGAGATATTACTTATAACATTGTAAAAATGGATATAAAACCGTAGCTGTGGTAAGTTCTATGAAAGGAAGATATGCAAAAGTAATTGAGTTTGAAATAAGACTTGACATAGTCTAGGAGGTGAGGGATGACATGTTTGACTTAAAAGTGGAGTTAATTAGGGGATGATAATTTCAGTGAGAGGCCCTAACACAAGGCTTGATGTCAGGGAGCTTGGCACATTACAGGAAACAGTAATGGTGATATGCAGTGAGAGACAGGATGAGATGGGGGGAAGGACCTGGAGAAGTAGGCAAGACAGGTCCTGCAGAATTTGGTAGATTATGTTAAGGATTCTGTCTTCATACTAAGAATAGTTGGAAGCAGAGAAGGATTTTAAGTAGTAGGGTGCCATGATAAGATTTTCTTTTTTCTTTTCTTTTTTTTTTTCTGAGACAGGTTCTTGTTTTCTTGCCCAGGCTGGTGTGCAGTGGTGCAATAGTGACTCACTGCAGTCTCAACCTCCCAGGCTCAAGCGATTTCTCTTACCTCAGACTTCTGAGTAGCTGGGACTACAGATGTGTGCCACCATGCCCAGCTAATGTTTTAAAAATTGTTTAAAAATTTTTTATTTTTTTGAATTGGAGTCTTACTTTGTTGCCCAGGCTGGAGTGCAGTGGTATGATCTCTACGCACTGCAACCTGTGCCTCCCAGGTTCAAGCAATTCTCCAGCCTCAGCCTCCCGAGTAGCTGTGACTGCAGGCACCCACCACCATGCACAGCTAATTTTTGTATTTTTGTAGAGGGGGTGTTGCACCATGCTGGCTAGGCTGGTCTTGAACTCCTGACCTCAAATTATCCACCTACCTTGGCCTCCCAAAGTGCTGGGACTGTAGGTATGAGCCACCATACCCGGCCCCCAGCTAATTTTTTAAAAAATTATTATTTTTTTTGTAGAGATGGAGCCTTGCTTTATTGTCCAGGCAGGTTTCAAACTCCTGGCCTCAAGCAATTCTCCTGCGTCAAGCAATTCTCCTCCTTGGCCTCCCAAAGTGCAGAGATACAGGTGTGAGCCACTGTGCCTGGCAATGATAATATTTTCATTTAAAAAAGATCATCCTATTTCTTTTTGGAGTATTGTTTGGAAGGCAGCAAGAATAGATGTGGGACATCAGTTAGGGGGCTAATGCAGTTGTCTAGAGAAGATATAACTATGATTAATTTAATTTTAAGGAGATATATTAGTAAATAATGTTCTGGAATATCAGTTTTACTGTAATCTAGGATCTAGTAAGGATTGTATTATATGTTCTAGGTGGCCACTCCATTTGGTACAGTGACAGCCCCTCTTTGTGTCCCTGGGATCCAGGCCAGGTTTCTTTTCCTCCCAAAATATTTAATTAGAAAATGGTAAGTCATTGTGGAATCCATTTCACTTATTCCTGCCTAGAGCAAGTATGGTCTTCCTTGGGTCCCCATTTAGTGATTCTGTTATCTTTGGCATAAAATTATTTCCTTAATCAAATGTTTTCTGATATTTCTCCCTAACCTTACTGGCCACTCCAACTTTTGTGCCCCCAACAAACTTCTTTCTATAGTCCTTTATTTACTCTTACTTGCTAATTTATCTGCCACCACCACCCACCCCCTCCCCCCCCCCCCTTCAAGTAGAATAAGATCAGTAAGTACACTGCAGATTTGTTTACCGTTAACATCAGAATTGTTCATCTAGTGGTCATTTTTCAGCTCTTGCCTAATTTTTGGTGGTATTAACCAGTTCTTTTTTCTTGAAAATCTTCCCACACTTAGCTCCCATCATGTTAATCACATTTATCAGTTATATTTTTTTCTTAGCCATGTACAATGTCATGTACTCAGAAGTGGCTCCCCACTTCCTATCCCCCATCCACAAAGTCCTCCTTTTACTAAACGATACCTTCCCACTGGACACAACTTTCCTTTTCTCCTTAACTAGTTCGCTTGAGCTGTTTGAGACTTAGGAAGTATCAGAGATTACAATACAGTTTGTTGTAATGGTGGAGTATGGGCCATAATGCTTTGTTTATTAAACGTGCTTGAATAACCTTGGTCCAGAGGTATTATTTTCATGCATGTAGTCTGAGTAGAAATACACATCTTTTAAAGCTTTTTTTTTTTTAATAGACAGGGTCTCACTGTGTTGCCCAAGCTGGCCTTGACCTCCTGGGCTCCAGCCGTAAGTGATCCTCATGCCTCAGCCTCCTGAGTAGCTGTAGGCACATATCACCTGTAGCCTCCTGACTGTAGGCACATACCACCATACCTGGCTTTATTTTTAAAACTTTTGTGTGACAACTTTTTGTTTTTTTGAGACTGAATCTCGCTCTGTTGCCCAGTCTGGAGTGCAGTGGTGTGATCATGGCTCACTGCAACCTCTGCCTCCCGGGTTCAAGCAATTCTCATGCCCCAGCCTCCTGAATAGCTGGGATTACAGGCATGTGCCACCATGCCTGGCTAATTTTTGTATTTTTAGTAGAGATGGGGTTGCAGCATGTTAGCCTGGATGGTCTCAAATTCTTGACTTCAAGTGATCTGCCTGCCTCGGCCTCCCAAAGTGCTGGGATTACAAGCGTGAGCCGCCGCACCTGGCCTTTTGTGACAACTTTTAATCATATTTTCCATATAATTCCAGTAGAGGGCAGCAAGTGGAAAATATTGGTGTTTAAAAATTAAACATGGGCCAGGTGTGGTAGCTTTTGTCTGTAATCCTACCATTTTGGGAAGCTGAGGTGGGAGGATTGCTTGAAGCTAGAAGTTTGAGACCAACCTGGATAACATAGATGGGTAAGAGTCCCCCCCGCCCATCTCTATAAAAATTAAAAAAATAAAAATTAACTGTGTGTGGTGGGGCTTGCCTGTAATCCCAGCTACTTGGAAGGCTGAGGTGGCAGGAGGTCGAGTTTGTGTCACTGCACTCCAGTCTGGGTGACAGAGACTGACTGTCTCAAAAAAATAAATAAATAAAAAGTAAGTCTGTGAAGAAGGGACTCTTTAGAAGAGCAGTCAGTAATTCAGGAGGGATATAGTGGATTCCTATGTAAAGGGAACCAGAAGAATGGAGAAGGTCAGTTAAAGAAATACTTAAAAAAGTATAAGCTAGGATTTGGTGATTGATTAGATGTAGACCAGTTCGGTTATTGTACCCACTTTTTTTTTTTTTTTTTTTCCAGAGATGGAGTCTCACTCTGTTGCCCAGGCTGGAGTGCAGTGGCATGATCATGTCTCACTGCAGCCTTGACCTCCTGGGCCCAAGTGATCCTCCTGCCTCAGCCTCCTGAGTGGCTGGGTTTACAGGTGTGCTACCACTGGCTAATTTTTGTATTTTTTTTGTAAACAAGGGGTCTCACTATGTTGCCCAGACTTGTCTGAAATTCCTGGCCTCTAGCAATCTGCCTGCCTCTTCATGTCAAATTATTGAGATTACAGGCATGAGCTACTATGCCCTTAATTTTTTATTTAAATATTTTGCATATGAATATTTTAAATATTTAAAAATATTTTGAATAAATGAAACTTTTGATAAAACAAAAAGTAAATACATTTAAAATACTTAGAATATGATACTGTTTTAGAGAAAATGAAAAGGATTACAGGTTTTTTATAGTATTTGATTTTGTGATGATCTATTATAGAAATAATTTAGAAGTCCAAGAAAATAATTTTTGAAATTTTTTACATCTCTTCACATTTTGATATATAATGGAGTCTTAGGTTTTAATGTTGGTAAGTGAGGCTTCTTGAAGCAAAAATTATACTGTATAAAGTTAAAACAGACAAGGAAGACTGTATTCAAGACCATTGCAGTAAGGCAAAGAGCCCGGAATGAAGTGTAAACTCAACTCCTCTGAAACAAAAGGCGGAAGGGTTTTTAAGGGCCAGGATGAGCTAGTGGAAAAGTACTAAAAGATATTATGTGGGGCCATTTATCAGGTGTGTTGGGATATTGAGTTTTTGTTGAGTTTGCAAATATTTCTCTTTGTGACTGGGCCGTCTGTGTTTACCAAGTAGTACCTGTTGAAGTTAGCCTGCTATTCTCCCATAGAGACTGGAAGATAAGGGCACTGTCTTCTTTAATGATTGTGTTTCAAAGGGATGGTTCCTAGGTCCTGGAGAAAGATATTTCCTGGGTTGTAAAACCAATTAAAGTTTTTTATAAAAAGATTTACATATATCTCAAAGAGGTAGAGAAGAAATTTACAATGACAAGTTTTCTAAAGAAATTACTCTAAGAAAAGGGAGATAAGGGCCTAGAGTCCGGAATGGGCCTCTCTAAAGTTCAGTCAAGCTGAGGTTAAGGCTGTTTCTGTCAGGGTTTTGGAGTCAGTTCTTTAAATAGGGTCATCTCTTTGTGTCTGTTTTCTTATCTGTAAGAAAAGGGGATAATGTTGTAAGCACTAAAGTAGCAGCTATCATTTTTTTGTTCTTTAAAACAATTGTTTTTTATATTTTTTTGAGATGAAATCTCACTGTGTTGCCCAGGATGGAGGGTAGTGGTGCAGTCATAGCTCACTTGAGCCTCCAAACTTGAGGTTCAAGTGATCCTCCCACCTCAGCCTCCCAAGTAGCTGGGACTACAGGCACACATCACTGTGCCTGGCTGAGTTTTTGAATTTTTTTCTAGAAATGGAGTCTCACTTTGTTGCCCAGGCTGATCTCAAACTCTTTGTTTTAAGCTATCCTCCCACCTTGGCTTCCCAAAGTGCTAAGGTTACAGATGTGACCCACCACATCTGACTTGTTTTTTTTTTTTTTTTTTTTCCAAGAAGTGTTCTCTTTCTGTTGCCCAGGCTGGAGAGCAGTGACATAATCTCCACTCCCAGGCTCTAGTGATCTTCCCACCTCAGCCTCCTGAGTAGCTGGGATTACAGGCACACGCATGTCCGGCTAATTTTTGTATTTTTTTAAGAGATAGGGTTTCACCATGTTGCCCAGGCTGGTCTTGAACTCTTGAGCTCAGGTGATCTGCCCACCCGGGACTCCCAAAATGCTTTGATTACAGGTGTGAGCCACCATGCCCGGCCCTGGGCTGTTCTTATTTTAAAAATCATCTCATCCAGTTTATAATATTGAAAATTAGGTGACTGAAACTCAGATCAAATGATTAGTTTAACTTCACATAGCTTAGTGCATTTTAGTGAATAGCTTTATTGTTATATCAACCAATACAAGTCTTTAGTTTTAGTATTAGGAATTGTGAGTGTGATGGGGAGGATTTGAGGGTATAGAATTATTTGAAAACGATGTTGTTTTCTTCCCTTTGCTTGTTTTCAAAGTTTTGGTGGGTGCTGATGAGTAGTGATAAAGAGAGATAATGGTTTCAAGGGAAACTTAGAGGAAGGAGGTGAGGTGTTGCTATATAATAGTGTGGTGATATCTTTAAACACATACCGTGCTTATCTACGATTAGTGTCATTCTCTAAAGAGCAGACACTTAGGCCTTTATTTTATTGCTGTTGCCATCATTTAACATAACTATGGACATGACTTTAAAACCCATGACACATTGTTTTTCTCAGTGATCCTTTGAGATGGATTTAGTTATCTGAGGCAACCAAACGTCATTTGGAACCAAAATGAATGAATTTAGGCAATAGAATATTTTGTCAGAAACAAGGTATGAATAACATTGTTGAATTGTCTTTTAGGTCTTGTAAATTGACTCCCTGAAGGAGTTTCCCATATGCTTTGCATTCTTTCTTGTTGAAATAAGCATACTAAATGATAAGTGTGCCAAGTGGTTTGAAATTCTTTTAAAAGTTTAAAAATGCAAGCAATGATCAGACATCAATACTGAAAAATTGTATCCACTTATAGAAACTAAGTCACATTTATATTTCTCTAATCCATCTAGTTCAGAAATGTTTATTTTCCTCTTTGGTTATAACTCTTCTGCTTATTTTAAAGTAAGCCATGTTAATTTTGGAGTCAACTGGAATCTTTAATGTTGATATAACCTATATTAAATACTGAGACACAAATGTTGATAAACTCCAGGTTTTTATAAATTATTTTTAAAAAGAGATGTTTAGGTTGTATACACTGTCTTGGATTGTAAATGTCTGGATCTTCTTGAATCTGAGAAGGCGATTTTTGAAATAACAAATTTTTTCCCCTTAATTTTGTTTAGACAGAATATCGGTGAAAGTATTCTTTACCTGTGGGTGGAGAAAATAAGAGATGTTCTAATACAAAAATCTCAGATGACAGAACCAGGTAGGATTGAAAAATACTATCAATACTCTTTTTACTTACAGTAATTATATTTTTATGTGGATACTCTAATTGAAATTTAATATGAAAATCTGTATTCTGGTTTATGGTTTGTATATTGTAAAATCCAAGTTTCTCTGAAAAGTTTACTCATGTAATTATAGTTATTTCTTTCTATAAGATCCACCTGCCTTGGCCTCCCAGAGTGCTGGGATTACAGGCATGAGCCATTGCGTTCAGCTGAGATATTAATTTCAAACGAATCTAGTGTTTATTGAAAAAGAAATTTGGCCAGCACTTTGGGAGGCTGAGGCAGGCAGATCACAACGAGGTCAGGAGTTCAAGACCAGTCTGACCAGTATGGTGAAACCCCATGTCTACTAAAAATACAAAAATTAGCCAGGCATGGTGCTGCATGCCTGCAGTCCCAGTTACTCAGGAGGCTGAGGCAGGAGAATAGCTTGAACCCGGGAGGTGGAGGTTGTAGTAAGCCAAGATCGCATCTCTGCACTCTAGCCTGGGCAACAGAGCAAGACTCCATCAAAAAAAAAAGTAAGAATAAGTAATTCATTTTGATTTTACTGTTAATCTTCAGTGTAGATTTATTCTTTATATATTTTTTAGTGTAGAAATTTCTAATTTTGAACTAATTACACAGCTATTTACAATTTCTAAAACTTTTGAACTAATTTTAAACTTACGGAAAAGTTACAAAAATAGTACCAAGGGCTCTTTTATATCTCTTACCCAGATTTCCTGTTAGCATCCTGCATAACCATCATACAGTTATCAAGAGCAGAAAACTGACTCTGGTGCAATATTATTAACTAAAGGAGCTTATTCAGATTTTACAAACTTACAAATGTCCTCTCTGCTGTTGTAGGATCTTGTCTAGGATTCTACATTGCATTCCACTGTTGTTTCTCTTTACTCTCCTTTAGTCTATAAACAGTTCTTTAGTCTTTCCTTGACTTTTACAGCCTTGACACTTATGAAGACTACCGATAGTTATTTTGTAGAATGCCCCTCAATTTGGGTTTGTCAAATGTTTTCTCATGATTGGAGTGAGATTAGCCATTTTTGGCTGAAGCAGGAGCGGCTACGAGAAACAGACCTCTCAGACACCAAATTAGGAAGGAAGAGGTTTTGTTACCGCCGGGAGTGAGGCAACAATTTGTCTAAACGCCAAACTTGCCTAACAAAGAGAAGCTCTGCCTTTATATAGGCTTACACTCTAGATATTACACATGAAAGAATCTTAGGTTCACAGCCTTAGAAATTACAAGTGAAAGGGTCTTGGGCTTACAGTGTTAGAAAACACATATGAAAGGGTCTTGGGTTTACAGTTTTAGAAATCACATATGAAAGGGTCTTGGTTGATGGAGGAGTAGGGTGAGGGTTTGATCTTGTTTAAGTAAAAACAATGTCTTCTAGAGAGATTCCCCAACACCATGCCTGCTATTTACAGGAAGATGATTTAGGAGCTAGCGTTTTCTTCTATTGAAATGCAGTGTGGAAGTCAAGGGGGAGGTGATCCTAGATGCCTGGGTCTTCTTCCTAATGGCAAGAATACCAAAAAAATGCTGTTGTGTCTTTCATAGTGCAACATATTAAGTAATTTATATCATAATGGCTTTTTTTTTTTTTTTTTGAGACACAGTTTCGCTCTGTCAGCCAGGCTGGAGTGCAGTGGCATGATCTCACTGTAACCTCCGCCTTTTGAGTTTAAGCGATTCTCCTGCCTTAGCCTCCTAAGTAGCTGGGATTACAGGTGTGTGTACACACACACACACACACACACACACAGACACACACACACACACAGACACACACACACACACACATATATATATATATATATATATATATTTTTTTTTTTTTTAAGAAATGGGCTTATAAAGTTGTGGAAGTTGGCAAGTCCAACATTTCAGGATAGGCTGGCATGCTGGGCACCCAGGGAAGAGTGAATGTTGCAGTTTGAAAACAAAGATAGTCTGCTGGAAAAATTTCCTTTTCTGGAGAGGCCAGTCTTTTAATGTTAAGGCCTTTAGCTGATTTGATGAAGCCAATATAGAAGACAGTCTGCTTTACTCAAAGTCAACTGACATAATTGTTAATGTCATCTAAAAAATACCTTCAGATAAAATCTAGAATAGTGTTTAACAAAATATATGGGTACTGAGGCTGGTTACAGTGGCTTGCACCTATAATCCCAGCACTTTGGGAGGCTGAGGTGGGCAGATCACTTAAAGTCCGGAGTTCAGGACCAGCCTGGCCAACATGGCGAAACCCCATCTCTACTAAAAATACAAAAATTAGCCAGGTGTGGTGACATACACCTGTAATCCCAGCTACTTGGGAGGCTGAGACACAAGAATCACTTGAACCTGGGAGGTGGAGATTGTGTACGGCACTCCAGCCTGGGTGACAGAGTGAGACTAAGTGTCAGACAAAAATAAACAAATATATGGGTACTGTAGCCTAGCCAAGTTGACATGTAAAATTAACCAGTACAGTTACTATCTTTGTCCTTGTACCTTGAGGGAGATATTTTGAAGCTATGCTAATGTCCTGTTTCTCCTTAAACTTTCAGCCACTAATTTTAGTATCTATCCATGGATCTTGTCAATAATATTTATTACAGTGATGTTTGCCTGGTGATGATTTTCTATTGTTTTCATTCCTTCTTCATTTAGTAATTGGAATTCTATGGTGAGAAAAGGATGTCTCTCCTCCCAATTTATATATTTATTTATCTGTTTATTTACTTATTTATATCAGTTATTTACTTATTTATGTCATGTGTATTATTTCAACCATTGATTAAAATGCCATACGATCATTATTTTTTTGTTGCTCAAATTGTTCTAGCTTTCACCTTTAAGAGCCCCTTTAGGTTGGCTCCTGTGTTCTTTTTATAAGCCCCAGCTTTTTTAAAGCATTTCCTGGTTTCTGGATCCACATGATGTTCCAGGTTCATCTTGTGTTTTCCTTGCCCCAACTCAGAAATCAACCAGTTCTCCTAGGGGTTGAGTGCTGGTTCCTTCTGTTGAAGAGTGGTGTTTAGAAACCAAGACCCAGTGATTTTTTTTAAAAAGCATCATTTCTTATTGTTTCGTGGAGTAATCGTGTCTCATATTCACATAGGCCCAGATGTAAAGAAGAAAACTGAAGAGGAAGATGTTGAATGTGAAGATGATCTCATTTTAGCATGTCAGCCAGAAAGTTCGGTTAAAGCATTGGATTTTGATATCAGTGAAAATCGGACAGGTATAATGTTACTAACTAGTTTCTTTTGAGGAGAGTGGGGTTGGTAGTATTATTCTTTGAGATAATAGAGAAATTTACTAATTTTCTCAAATTTTAGGAAGGAGTTACTAATTTGCAGATAATTGAGATTTATTTTTTTCCTGCCTATTGGCAGTTTTGGTGTTTGCTGAGACTATCAAAATGGTAAGGAAAAAATGTAAATTTACTCTTTTCCCCCTACTTTCAAGAGTTTTGATTTAGTGATGGAAGAAATTGAAACTAAGAAAGGCTATTAATGTTTTTAGTTCACATCATGTTTTTTTATTTCTGTATTGAGATCCTTAGCTGTTTTCTGATGTCTCAGGACTAAATTTTAGTCTATGCTCCCAATACAAATACATTAACTGAAAGTGGAGCCCCTGAAATTAAAGCTAGTAAAATGCCTTTAAGAGTTTTTTTTGAGAGGTGAGGTCTGGCTGTGTTGCCTAAGTTGGCCATAAACTCCTGGGCTCAAGTTGATCCTCCCACTACAGCCTCCTTAGTAACTGGGACTACAAGCACACCATTGTGCCCAGCTTGAGTTCAGTTTTTTTTTTTTTTTTTTTTTTTTTGGAGATTGAGTCTTGCTTTGTGGTCCAGGCTGGAGTGCAGTGGCATGATCTTAGCTCACTGCAGCCTCCACCTCCCAGGTTCAAGTGATTTTCCTGCCTCAGCCTCCCAAGTAGCTGGAATTATAGGCACATGCCACCATGTCTGGCTAATTTTTGTATTTTTAGTAGAGATGGGGTTTCTTCATGTTCACCAGGCTGGTCCCTAACTCCCTACATAAACCTACTTTCTTGTGTTGAATAACTTTTCATCCTAAGTAGGGCAGGTAGTAGTAGCCAGGATGATTAAGTCTCAACAGAATTGAGAGTTAATTAGTGATTCTTAAACTTGTTTAAGAGGTGTAATAACTGAAAATCATGATACTTTTATGGAATACCAGTTGGATATATTATTGATGTATTCCATCATATGAAGTAGGAACAGTTGTATTAGCAGAAGATATTATATTGTAGTTACACAATATAAAGAATATAAATTCATAGTTTTTCCAACTCAGAGGTCTAACAACAGTGAAATTGATAAATAAGTTTTATATTAGCAACTATAAATCTTTGGTTTCAGGACCCCTTTACATTCTTAAAAATTATGTATTGTGTTAGATATTGTACCAACTTACACTACTGACTGCAGCAGTAGAGGATTTTAGTAGCAACCCACTGCTTCTTCTGGGTAACCTTGGCAGGTAGAGATCATTTATAAGTCAAATATTTTAATCTTATATACAATATACTTAGAAACTTTTTACTTAAAATTATAATTTACATTTAATTTTGGTAGATAATGATGAATGATTATTTTAGTTGATTTACTATATAATTTACATTTCTTTCCCAGCTCCTCCCCATTTCATTTTTCAACATTTGAATGTATGACTTTTTAAAAAAATTAATGCTTTACATTTCTAGAAGTAGAAGAATTACCTCCGATTGATCATGGCATTCCTATTACAGACCGAAGAAGTACTTTTCAGGCACACTTGGCTCCAGTAGTTTGTCCCAAACAGGTAAAGTTCTTTTGTCTCGCTCACTTTGATATTTTACTAAAGTAATTTAAGTAAATGATTTTGCAATAATGCCCTTATTTTTACTTTTATGCTTTATTTTCATATAAGATAAAAATTATTTGTCCATTTTTCTACTCCCAAATAACTGTGAATCACAGAAGATTTGTTTTGTTTCTGTTCGTCACTGCTTTCTTTCTTTTTTTGTGAGATGGTGTCTCACCATGTTGCCCAGGCTGGCCTAGATCTGGACTCAATGAGCCCTCCTGCCTCAGCCTCCCAATCCAAAGTATTGGGATTACAGGTATAAGCCACTGAGCCAGGCTTGTCACTGCTTTTAAAATTATATCTAAACTCTGATTAGGGGTTAACCCTCTAATGAATCTTTAAATAAGAAACATTGTGTTATTATAGCAAATTATGATGCTTAATATCTTGTCAAAAAGAATTATTTGTCCTGTAGAATGGGAGTTCTGTGAAACTATGTCCATTCCTCTGTTATTATTCAACAAAGGGGACAGTAGACAGACTGGCTAAACCAAGTCCTCCCTACCTGACTTACTTTCCTTTGTGCTTCTTGATCTTAGGTGACCTTATTTCCACCCAGGGATATAAATGGGAGAGATTTTAGCCAAAAACTATTCCTAGATCTTTGCCTTTCTCATTCTCCTTTCAGCAGAATCCTTTTCTTCTTCCTTGATTCTATAATCTAGCTCAGCTTAAATTTTACTGATGTATGAGGCAATTTCAATACTACCTATATAAAGTTAAATTTTTTAAAAAGTCTCATTTACCATAGAGTTTAGGTATGAGTCCCTTTCTTTGGTCTTTGCAGCTACTCTACTCTTGAAGCTCTTTAAAGCCCTGACCTTCAGGGATACAGCTTTTTGAACCAGGCTCTTTCACTTTCTGAAAGAGGAAGCCCTTTTCTTCATTGACTTGTGGTCAAGATCATAAATTTTGGTGCAGACTTCCAGTCTTTTCTCTCAGGAAAATGATTTTGTCCCTCGTGTTTGGTCACATCTTCTTCCCAGGGTCCTCTGAGTTCATTCTAATTCTGAATCTGTTCATTCTGGATCCTCTTTCTGTTTCTGATCATAGTCACTTAGATTTACAGGATTATAATTTGTGAGAGCTGAAACAAATTTTAGAGGTCATTGTCTATTTTATTGATCAGAATTTGAGAACCTGAAAGATTAAAAAATGATAAGCAGAAGGTTGCACAATTCCTGATCCAAATTGGTGTCCCCAACTCCAGCTCAGTGTTCCCTGCCTCCAATATTTCTTCCATACTTCTTGCCATGACAACATTCCTGAAAAATCTGACCATGTTTGACTCTGTTCTCTCTCTTATCCACCTTTGCACATGTAATCTTTGCTGATTTCCAGTGTCTACAAGGGAACACCTAAACTTATTACTTAGATCCTTTGTAATACGGCCCTAGCTTATCATTCATGACAGATCTTCTATCATCAGTTTCATACTCTAAGTTAAAGCTGTTGTAAAACTTCCTGAACTTTTCTCTTTTTTTGTTGCTGCTAGGGTTTCCAGATAAAATATAGAATACCTAGTTAAATGTGAATTTCAGGTAAACATTATTGCATGGGATGTACTTATAGTAAAAAAATTACTTGTTTATCTGAAATTCACATTTAACTGGATGTCATATATTTTTATTTGCTAAATCTCACTACTCAGTCCCTGTATTTGTATATAGCCCTATTCTTTGTGTGGAATGTCTTTTTGGTGCAGAAGAACTACCACTGATCAGACCTGGCTCATGTGACCTCCTCTATAAACCTTACTTGACTCGCAGAGAAAGTTGTGGTTTTATAACATTTGGAACGTACCATTATTGTGTACCTGCTACATTGGATGTATACATTTGGTAAATTTCAGAGCTAGTTTTTAGAAGCTTTTACATTTGCATTTAAAATTCTTTATGTGGGGAACACATTTTTCCTTTGACATAGTACCGAAATATTTGTTGATAATTTGTGCTCAGAAACACCAGCTCTGTCATTTTTATACCAATTATGAGTACCAGTTTCTGCCCCTAAAATGAGAAGGAAACTTTGGAAATGACTTTTTCAGAGTATAGTAGACTCTTTAAGTGGCTATTTATTTTAATACAACATGCTTTAAGGCATTTTTCTAGCATTTATTTACAGAGCAAATATAAAGCCTACTTACTTATATTATTGCTGTTTTTAAGGTGAAAATGGTTCTTTCCAAATTGTATGAGAATAAGAAAATAGCTAGTGCCACCCACAACATCTATGCCTACAGGTGAGTAATCATCACAATTTTTAGTATACAAAATTTATAAAAAATGAAGGTAAATGATACATGATTTTAGAAAATAATAACTATTATGTATTTTTTCCATTATAATAGTAATAGGCATATAGAGTACTTGGAAACTGCAGAAAAGAAAAAAAAATCGAAGGGAAAAATCTGGCATTTTCTGCCATCTGATGCAATTGACAATATTCTGAGTTTTTTTTACTTTTTCTATACAAAGTTAATTTTTTCCCAATGCTTTACCCTTGTATCCTGCTTTTTTCTTAATTAAACAAAAGAACTTTTTCATGCTATTATAACTACTTGATAAATACTGTTTAATGGCTGTATGATATTTATTTGAGGTGCCATTCTACAATTTAACCATTTCCTTTTAGTTTTTCATATTTTTCACGATGATAAAGAGCAGTCCAGTGAATGTTTTTGTATACTTTTTAAGTTATTTCCTCAGAATAGGCTTTGGTTGCTTGAGATTCTTTTTTGAAATGAAATGGGAGTATAATTAAAGGAAGAAATAATTCTTAGAATTATCAAAAAGCGTGAACATTTTTGAAAGTTTTGATATATAGCCAATTTCTTGCAAAGGTTTTGTTTTGTTTTGTTTTTTTTGAGACAGAGTCTCCCTTTTGTTGCCCAAGCTGCAGTGCAGGGGCACAATCTTGGCTCAAGTGATCCTCCCACCTCAGCCCAAGTTAGCTGGGACTACAGGCGCCAGCCACCATGCCCAGCTAATTTTTGTATTTTTTGTAGAGACAGGGTTTTTGCCGTGTTGCCCAGGCTCATCTCAAAACTCCTGGGCTCGAGTGATCTGCCCACCTTGGCCTCCCAAAGTGCAAGGATTTACAGGCATGAGCCCAAAGGTTTTTAAAACCAATTTATGCTCCCATCAGCAGTGAATTAAGAGTACCTCTTTACTACATGAGTTTCAGTTTTGGGAATTAAGGTTTTTATAGGCATCTTTGCTGATTTGTAAGTGAAGAGATGAAGGGCATTTAAAAAATGCAAATTTGTAAGACTTCAAAAGAACATAGTTTAGTCCTAAAATAAATCAGAACATAGGGACTTGGTGTAAATTTAAAATATGATTGAGACTATTTGTAGAATCTTTGCTATCTGAAACTGAAACTCAAAGATTTATCACTTTGAGTAGGTGAGTTTTTAATATTACTAATTTCACATCTCTTTTAGTGCCAAAACTTACTTAAAATTATTTGTTATGTAATTCCTTTCTTAATGGAGTATCACTAGACAGAATTTTAATGTTTTCTTAATCAGTTATGACCTTTAGTAGGAAAATGAGGAATTCAACTGTGTTCTCAGTCATTAGAATGGGCTGTAAAAGTTGTAATGTTCATTCTACATGTTTTTTGAGTGCCTACTCTGTGCCAAAACTATGTAAATTAACTCTGAGTAGTTAGCAGTTCTACCACTGTAAAAAGGTTAGCTTTTTCAGGATCCCATAGTTAAGTGGTAGAGCTGAATTCCATAATCCAATTTCATTTGTTTATTTCATTACTCCATGGCTGTGGCTGTGCTTCAACAATCTTGTATCTAAGCTATGTAAAAAAGGCTAAAAGGTGCTCATAGTATTTTAACTTTAATGTTTATAGTAGGTGGTCAGTAAATGTTTATTGAGTGGATAGATAGATGGATGGAAGGAAGGATGAGTGAGTGAATGAATGTGACTGCTGTAAGGTAACATAATTGACTTAGGTGTGTAGATGACCTCTTATAGCTTTTAATATTTACATTAAAAGTTTACAGCTTTTTATGGCCAGTGCTGGGAGGGTGTCTTTATTACATTTGCCCAGTTCCGCATGTTGCTGTTGTAGGGCCCTTAGAAATCCACCAGATGGCATACCATAACTGACACTAATTTTCTTTCAATCTCTAGCACTAATATTTGCCAAGGTTATTTTACTATATTATAGGCCTACATTATTATTTCAAATACTAAATTTCTAGGTCGTTTAAATGGATTAAAATACCATGATTTGTCTCTTTTTAGTAACCATCCAGGGGAAAAGTTTAAAGATAAAAATAAATCTTTACATTCTTACTCAGAAAGAAGAAAATAGAGAAATGCATGATGGGTGGAATAAGATGAGAGGAAAGTATAAAATATTACCTTATGTTGGTTTTATTGCCTTCTTTTTTTATATATGCTTTTTGTTTTCCTGGATCTTTTTTTTTTTTTTTTTTTTTTGAGACAGAGTCTCACTCTGTCACCAGGTGCCAGGCTGGAATGCAGTGATGCGATCTCCACTCACTGCAACCTGCACCTCCCGGGTTCAAGCAATTCTCCTGCCTCGGCCTCCTGAGTAGCTGGAACTACAGGCGTGCGCCACCACGCCCAGCTAATTTTTTGTATTTTTTAGTAGAGATGGGGTTTCACCATGTTGGCCTGGATGGTATCGATCTCTTGACCTCGTGATCCGACCGCCTCGGCTTCCCAAAGTGCTGGGATTACAGACATGAGCCACTGCGCCTGGCCTGTTTCCCTATATCTTAAGGCTCTTTGAAGACAGATGCATGCTGCTTACTTCTTTTATAATATGTCTTGATGCCTATTATATTGCTTCTATAGAGTGTATTCTCAATAAATGTTTTTCAATGATTGCTCTCTGTAACTTCAGTGTTAAATGAAGTAAAGGGAATGTCACGTGTAAATTCACCTTCCCATAATAGCAACATTTCTGATATAAAGGAGATGCTTTTGATTCCTAGCTTTCCCAAGTATATAAAAAGACAAACATACTGGATAGTAAATTGTCAGTGAATATATGTCTAAAATAATACATATTTCAAGAAGGATTTAGACAAATGAATATGCTGATGTTGGAAGTAATCAAAATGATCAGAAGTATTGAGAAATAACATGCATTATAATATTTTAGGTTCAAAGTATAATGCTGTTATATGTATTTGCAGAATATATTGTGAGGATAAACAGACCTTCTTACAGGATTGTGAGGATGATGGGGAAACAGCAGCTGGCGGGCGTCTTCTTCATCTCATGGAGGTAGGTGTAAGGAAACTGTTAATCCTGTTCTGTATGAGCCATAAAATTTCTCAACAAAACAGAGCTCCATTTAGTAATAGCTAAATCAGTTGAACTATGTAACATAAGATATATTTGATTTAATCAGTAGTTGATGTTAAAATGTTGAGTGAAATTTTTAACCAGTGGATTGGGACAGAAAGCAAATAATTAATAAGAAGTGCTATGCTTTCAGGACATAGACAATAGAAGATTGACTTCAACTTTGAGAAAACTTTGTTTTTTTTGACAATTTCTTTCTCTTTATTTTTTCTATTTTTTCTTTATGGAACTCCTATTAGTTGGATATTGGAACTTCTGGATAGATCCAGAATTTTTAAAAATTTTTTATTAAGTTGTCCATCTCATTGTCTTTATATTCTGAGACATTTTCTTGACTGTTGTCCAAATTTCTGTTGAATTTTAAATTTATTTTAGCAACCACATATTTAATTTTTAAGAGTTCTTTTTTGTTTTCTGTTTTTCCTTTTTAAGAATATCCTGTTCTGTTTTTATGGATTTAATATCTTCTAAAATTTCTCTGATTATATTAATTAGAGTTTCTCTTTTAAGATGTTCTCACCCCTAAAAAACTTTTTCTGGTCCATTTTAGTTTGTTTATCTTGTCCTTTCTCTTTCATGCTGCTGGATTTTCTTCATCTGTCTGGTGATCATTTATTGTCCATTAATTTTAAGATTGGATTGTTTTTTCCCTAAGGTAGTTACTTGGTTTTTTCTGCTATTGTATGTGGAGGTTTGTTTTCTAACAAGGCCTTTCCCTTGAATAGGAACTGTGTTTGTGGGTCAGGCCCGTAGACTGGCGGGCTTCACATTAAGGGCATCATTTAACAAATGTCAAACTGATGAAGACGGCCAGGAGTGGTGGCTCATGTCTGTAATCCCAGCACTTTGGAAAGCCGAGGAGGGGAGATCACCTGAGCCCAGGAGTTTGAAACCAGCCTGGGCAACATGGTGAAACCCTGTCTCTACCAAAAAACAAAAATTAGCCGGGCATGGTGGTGCATGTGCCTGTACATTCCAGCTACTTAGGAGGCTGAGGTGGGAGGATTGCTTGAGCCCAGGAGGCAGAGGTTGCAGTGAGCCAAGATTGCTCCACTGCACTCTAGCCTGGGTGATAGAGCGAGACGGATCTAGGTATCAACTGATGAAAACTTTATTGGTAGCACCAGGAATTAATACCTCCTGTAGCCCCTGTAGCTTTGTTCAGAAGCAGGTTTTTTGTTGTTGTTTGGCCTAGTGGTAAAATGCTGCGTATACTTAGCTGTTCTGGTTGAAATTATCAGGAACTAGAACCCTACCTGCATGGTCTCCCCTTCACTCTGTCCAGTTGCCCCAGAGTTGGGAATTTGAGGACATTGTGAAACACAGTGATGGTTTTCCAGATTCCCTTCTGTTCTTCCATTTCACTCCCTGCATTGTTAGTAATCTCACTCAGTGCCTTCTCATACGGCTCTACCGTTAAAGTCACTGGGAAATTTTATGAGCAATTTTATATATGGGTTATTTCATTCTCCTTTTTTAAAACTCACATTTGTACATGTCTGTCTATGTATCTAATTATGCTTCCAAAAAATAACAGATTTTGAATGTGAAGAATGTCATGGTGGTAGTATCACGCTGGTATGGAGGGATTCTGCTAGGACCAGATCGCTTTAAACATATCAACAACTGTGCCAGAAACATACTAGTGGAAAAGAACTACACAAATTCACCTGTAAGTGGCTCCTCATACTATATCTATCTAGAGAATTTCTCATCACTGCCTGGGAATTTTTTAAAAAGACAAAATTAGGAAGTAATCAAAATGTGGGTGGTACATACCAGGACACCTAGACTGTAGTCTAAACAGTGTGTCTGTCCAGTCATCTGACTTTGGACAAATCACTTCATCCCTTCGCACCTTGATTTCAGGGTTCATAGAATTTTATAATTAGAAAAGACTAGTTTCCACCCCCTAAAATTGAGCCCCAGAGTGGTTGTAGCTAATGTCACATCAGACTGGATGTTCTTTAAACATCTATACAATTCTGAAATTCTCTGTTAGTGGCAAAACATCTCCCCTTCCCCTGCCTTTAGATGCTTTCATCCTTTATACTTTGAGTTTATTTTGTTTCATATTTTAAGTATGTTCATATCTGTCTTATGTAAACTTTACTGCCTTACTTGGGAAAGTGGGACAATAGATGAAATTATATTGAAATTATTCAAACATAAATCTACTAGATAAATAAGTTTTCCTTGATTATTCTTGATTGTTTAAAAAATATTTGCCTAGGCCAGGTACGGTGGCTGGCGCCTGTAATCCCAGTGCTTTGGGAGACGGAGGTGGGCGGATTACCTGAGGTTAGGAGTTCAAGACCAAGCTGACCAACAAGGTGAAACCCTGTCTCTGCTAAATACAAAAAAAATTAGCCAGGTGTGGTGGCATGTGCCTATAATCCCAGCTACTTGGGAGGCTGAGGCAGGAGAATCACTTGAACTTGGGAGGCGGAGGTTGCAGTGAGCCAAGATGGCACTACTGCATTCCAGCCTGTGGGATAGAGTGAGACTCCAAAAAAAAAAAAAAAATTAGCCTATAAGTGAAAGTACCCTGTAAAACAGAAAAATTACACATATGAAAGTGATTATACCCTCACTGTAACATACATACATGCATATATGTATGAATATGTGTGTCATATATATATATAAATATATTCTAAATGATTAGATTTAAAGTCTAGTTTTTATGTAAATGGAAAGATGCTACACTGATTTGTGTCTTTTTCAGGAGGAGTCATCTAAGTCTTTGGGAAAGAACAAAAAAGTAAGAAAAGACAAGAAGAGGAATGATCATTAATACCTGAAACTATAGGAAAGGTTAATTTGCCTATAATTATATATACATTCCATAGTCATCATGGAATATATTGTGCAGAGAGAGTATCCTTGACTGCTCAAGTCAGCCAGTTCAGCATGGATACCAACATTATCTTTTCTTCTTTGGTTATATCATCTGCCAAAAATAGAGAACTTATGATCTATTCATGTGTGTTTCAGGCTTATTTGGGAGAACTAATTTGAACTTAATCACCACTTCATCTAATTTTAGGAAGGTAACAGTTGCCCAGGGCAGTACCTGAATTAACTGTCCATTTCAGTACATGTCAAGTGCCTTTGTTAGGTGGAGAAGTAATGTCTCTAGAGGAATATAAATACCTGATTTCTTGTCATTGAGATTCTTATACTGTTAAATGAATATTGCCTTTTTACTGCTCTTTATGGCTTGTTGGAATAGGAGTTCATTTAAGATTGATCGTGGAGAGTTTCTTCTTGTGATTTCTTCATGTCATCTTCCATTTTATAGTGTTCATCATTGAGTAATGGATTAAGTGAAAATCCAGGAGTATCCATCTGTAGTTATGTGCTGAGGTGATAATTCATCCAGCTTATTTGTTAGCATAAATATTATGCCTCAATTTCTGTTGCAAATTGGTGATTGTGAAATTTCAAAAAGTGATTTTCTAGTCTCTGCTTTTTTTGTTTAATTCTTGTAAGCAATAAATATAGAGCGTCAGTAGTCTCCTTCCACCGCAGAAATGTGTTGCTGTAACATTCTGCTTTCTTTTAACAACCGGGAAGTACCTTTCTTGTGATCTTCATTGAGGAATTAGAACTATGATAGAAGCGATGCTGTGGTGAATGGGACATTGATAGAATGAGATAGAGGTGGCAGAATGACCCTGGTGTAGGGCAGGAGTATGTTGTGTAGTTACATCAATTTGATGCATGCACTCCAGATAGCTTTCTCACTTCCAAGATTTTGCGGAGAGAAGGAGCAAACCTTTTGATTGGAAAAACAGAAACAACCCTTCCCCTCCCCATTTTTTTTCCCTCTATTCTTATCAAACCTTTATGTTTCTTTCATCTTCAAGTTACCTCTGGGCATTTAGACAATGAATTTAACTTTGAGATATAACAGTAAGTTATTAACTGCTCACTTTCAAATATAATTGCAAACAATTATTAAAATTTATTAACTGATCACAGATTTGCCTGGACTTCCCTTCCCAGGGAGGGACCAGAAATTAGGAGGCAACTTTGGGATGGTGCTAGAGCATTGAAGACACAGAGAATTGGACAAACAGGTCTTTTTCTCTTTTCTCTGATCTTTTACTTTTAAAACATCCAACATCCTTACTGTTGGTATTTTTAGTAAGGTTATAGTAAATAGCTTTACACCAGGATGGATTCTGAAATGCAAACTCTAAATTATTTGTTATAACTATATTTAATGATATATGTTATCAGGAGTCTGAGCAGAGAATGACCTTTGTGTATTTGGAACACTTAAACCTCAGGTTCTATGAAAAGTATGTTCTGTGTTTTAACTGTTAAAATAATTTAAAAAGTCAGTTATTTTACATAATTAAAGAAGTTAAAAACTATTAATTAACATTAAACAATTTCAGAATTTTGGCATGTCAGACCTGTGAAGGGAGATAGGAAACAATGAGAAACTTATTTTTGCTCCTTTTTACAAAATTATTAACTATTATTTTACTGACTAAAAAACTCTCATATTCCTTACCTAAAGTCAATTGGCCAGTAACAGGGAGAGATGCAAAATTCTCCGGTTCTGAACTTGGAGCTATTTCACACTCTACCCTTAATGGAAACTTGAACTAATGATAGATAGTATTTTTTTCCTCTATTTAAAATTTGTCTTGATTAGGGGATTTTTCAGTTTTCCACATAATAATTTTGTAAAATCAGATCTATGCTGTGGCATATTTTACTTTATTTAAAACCTTTTTTTTAGAGATGAGTTCTTGCTCTGTCACCTAAGCTGGAGTGCAGTGGCATGATCATGGCTCACTGCAGCCTTGACCTCCCACCCTGCCAAGTAGCTGGGACTGCAGGCATATGCTACCACACCTGGCTAATTTTTTAAATTTTTTGTAGAGTTGCAGTCTTACTGTGTTGCTGAGGCTTGTCTTGAATTCCTGGTCTCAAGCAATCTCCCTGCCAATGTGTTGGGATTACAGGTGTGAACCACCATGCCTGGCCTGCTTTGATATATTTTATAGTACATTAATTACAAATAGTCTCCATATGCCAGTGTATAAGAGCAAGTATTATCCACTTTTTAGATGGGAATTGCAGAAGCTGCATCAAAAGCATGCTTTGCGGTACATATAATGAAACTGCCTTTCTGAAGAGAATTATATCAAACTAATTACAACCAAGAAATAATAGTATGAAGCAGATACAGTTTGGAGGACAGGAAAATTTATTGGGAAAACTGCATAATCACCTCTGTTTCTACTATCCAGAGATGGCCATCATTATTTAATATTTTATATGTACATCCTTATATTATTTTTTCTTATGCATGGTTTTGTATATATGGCTATTTTTCTTTCCATAAAAATGGTATTAAACTGTATATACTGTTTTGTAGCCTACATATTTCATATAGAAGTAAATTGTTAACATTTTCCATGTCAATAAATATTCTTCTATGTCTTAAATTTCTTATGGCTGCATTGTATTCTGTCTTCTCAGTATATCATACTAACTAGTCCTCCACTTACTTCCTATTTTTAAGTTTTTTCCCAACTTTTCAGTGTTATAAACAGCTGTGAAAAACTACATTATTTGCAAATTTATATCTAGATATGGAATTTCTTGGTAAAGGTTTGTTCCTTCTAGTAGCTTTTGATTAGTTGAGTCAGGTTGTCCTCCAGGAAAGTGTTATCAGTGATTGCTCCATTGATACTGTGTTAGAATATACTTAATACTAGCCAGAGATGGGAAAAAATAGTCAGTTTGCTTGTTAACTCCCAATATCCTTTTTAAAAAAGTACCTTTTTGGCCAGGCATGGTGGCTCATGCTTGTAATCCTAGCACTTAGGGAGGCTGAGGCAGGTGAATCACGTGAGGTCAGGAGGTCGAGACCAGCCTGGCCAACATGGTAAAAACTGTCTCTACTAAAAATACCAAAGAAATTAGCTGGGCGTGGTGGTAGGCATCTGTAATCTTAGCTACTTGGGAGGCTGACCCAGGAGAATCACTTGAACCTGGGAGGAGGAGGTTGCAGTAGCCTGGTGACAAGAGTGAAACTCCATAAAAAACAAACAAACAAAAAGTAGCCTTTTTGTCTTGAAATAATTGTAGCCTCAAAAAAGTTATAAAAATAGTAGGTCCTGTGTACCCACCACTGAGCCTCCCTTAGCAGTAACATATAACTAGAGTGAAATTTCAAAACCAGGAAATATATTTGATTGCAATTCCTTTGTCAGATAAATGATTTCCAGATATTTTCTCCCAGTATGTAGCTTGTCTTTTCATTATCTTAGCAGTGTATTTTATAGAATTAAGTTGTTAATTTTGATGAGATCTAATTATCTTTTTTTCCCTCTCTCTTTTTTGAATCATTCTTTTTGATGCAATGTCTAAGGACTTTGCCTAACCCCAGGTCAAGATTTTCTTCTGTTTTTAAAGTTACATCGTTTTGTGTCTTTTATTTAGATTTATTTTCCATTTTTAGTTTTTACATAAGGTATGAGGTTAAAGTCAAAGTTTGTTTTGTTTTATTTTTTGCTTATGTATGTCCATTTAGGGAAGTGACTAGTTTTTTTAAATTGATTTTTCTTTTTCTTTTTTTTTTTTGAGACAATGTCTTGCTCTGTTGCCCAGGCTGGAGTGCAGTGGCCTAATCATGGTTCACTGCAGCCTTGATCTCCTGGGCACAAGTGATCCTCCCACCTCAACGTCACGAGTAGCTGGGACTACAGGTACACGCTACCACACCAGGCTAATTTTTATATGTTTTGTAGAGATGGGATTTCACTGTGTTGCCCAGACTGGCCTCTACCTCCTGAGCTCAAGTGATTTGCCTGTCTCGGCCTCTCAAAGTGCTGTGATTACAGACATGAGTTACCATGCCTGGCCAAATTGAACTTTTTACTCATAAATATTCACAGAGTAAACACAATTATGTAATCAGCAGTTAGACTGACAAAGGACAACACACCTCACAGTCCCCCTTGTATCTCAACTGGTCATTATCTACTCTGCTTCCTGCCAAATAACCGAGATGAGTTTCGTCTGTTTTCCCTTAGGTAAGTGGAATTGTACAGTACCCCTGTTTTGGTTCCTTTTCTAACATTTTGTTTGTGAAACTCATCTGGATTGTGTGTAACAAAAGTCATTTGTTTTTTTGTTTTTTTGTTTGTTTGTTTGTTTTTTTAAGAGTCGGAGTCTTACTGTGTCACCCAGGCTAGAGTGCAGTGGCATGATCATAGCTTACTTTAGCTTCAAACTCCTGAGCTCAAGCAATCCTGCCTTAGCCTGACAAAGCACTGGGATTACAGGTATGACCCCAGTTTGTACCTCGTCTAATTCTTTTTTTTCTTTTGGTACAGAGTCTTTGTCACCAGACTGGAGTATAGAGGCACGATCTCGGCTCACTGCAACCTCCCCCTCCCTGGTTCAAGCAGTGCTCCTGCCTCAGCCTCCTGAGTAGCTGGGATTACAGGTCCCTGTCACCACTCTGGGCTAGTTTGTTTTTTTGTATTTTTAGTAGATACAGGGTTTCACCATGTTTGCTGGGGTGGTCTGGATCTCGTGATCTGCCCACCTCAGCCTCCCAAAGTACTGGAATTACAGGTGTAAGCCACCATGCCCAGCCAATTCTTTCATTCTCATCTCTGCATAGTATTCCATTAAATGAATGTGACAAGCTATTTACCACTTCTATTTATGGATATTTGGTTTTCTAGTTCAATGCTATTACAATTAGTGCTGCTATGAACATTTTTGTACATGGCTTTTGGTAAACATACCTACACTTTTCTATAGGATATATGCCCAGGAATGAATTTGCTGGGTCATAGGATATGTGCATGTGGAGATTTGGTGTATTCTGCACAGGCATGTGCTGGGCTGGGTGCTGATTGTAATGTTTGCCAAGTTTCCATGTGTAAATACTCCCATTCTCTCCAGTTTCAAGCCAGCAAAGTGAACTCGGTTGGTTTACAAAATAGCTAAAAATGTTAACAGTTGCTTCTGTGAGCTAGTACAAGCCAGCTCCAGGACATCCCTCATACTGCCAAGCAATTTTTCCAAAATCATTATACCAATTTACACTTCTGCCAGTAAATGAATGAGAGTTCTAGTTGCCAGACATGTACTTTTGGCATTACCATTTTCATTTTCATCATGCTGTGTGGTGTGTAGTGCATCACTTTGTGGTTTTAATTTGTATTTCCCTGATGACTAATAAAATTGAACACATTTGGTTACTATATTTTATACCTGAGGTGACTGAATAATCTGAAACTAACATTTTTTCTCCCAGGAATAGAAAGATAAGAGCTTGTTATCAAGTGTGGTTCAGATACAGAGAAATAAGATTAAAATTTTGCATGTCTTATGACCTAGTCTGTAAATTTCAGCACTTCATCACCATCCCACTGGTATACTATCCGTGAGTTTATCTGGGAACTTCAGCTTTCTTTTTGCCCTTAATTTTCTAATTTGTAAAAATGTGGGTTGTAATTCCTTCCGGTCTGAGTTAGTTATGCGGATTAAATAAGATTCCTTCTATGGTGCTTAGTATATGATAAGAATTAGATAAAGTCTTACCTTGTATTTGAGATGAGCTATTTCTGAGGATTTTAACAGTACCTAGAATTTTTTTTTTTTTTTTTTTAAAGACAGGGTTTCACCCTGTCACTCAGGCTGGATGGAGTGCAGTGGCACCATTTTGGCTCACTGCAGCCTCCGCCTCTGGGGTTCAAGCAGTTCTCCTGCCTCAGCCTCCCAAGTAGCTGGCATTGCAGGGGCACGCCACCACACCCGGTTAATTTTTGCCTTTTTAGAACAGATGGGTTTCACCATGTTAGCCAGGCTAGTCTTGAACTCCTGACTTGAGGTGATCCATCTGCCTTGGCCTCCCAAAGTGCTGGGATTACAAGCACGAACCATCATGTCCAGCCAGTACCTAGAATTCTAAGTTGACATTGGGGTTTCCAAGTTCTTAGCCTCCTTTAGGGAGACAAGATAGTGTAATAGTTAAGAGCCATGTCTCTGAAATCTGACTTGAGTTTGAATCCTGTGTATGCTTTTTAAAATTTATTTTATTATTCTTTAAGTTCTGGGGTACTTGTGCAGAATGTGCAGATTTGTTACATAGGTATACATGTGCCATGGTGGTTTGATGGATTAAAAATTTAAACATAAGACCTAACACCATAAAAACCCTAGAAGAAAACCTAGGGAATACCATTCAAGACATAGGCATAGGCAAGAAGTGTATGACTAAAACATCAAAAGCAATGGCAACAAAAGCCAACATAGACAAATGGGATCTAATTAAACTTAACAGCTTCTGCCCAGCAGAAGAAACTACCATTAGAGTGAACTGGCAACCAACAGAATGGGAAAAAATTTTTGCAATCTACCCATCTGTCTGCTTTTTAATAGCCTTGCAAGCTTCGGCAAGTTATCTCTCTTCTCTGTACTGAGTTTTGCAAAGCTTATGAAGGAGTTAGGTGGCTACTATTGATGACACTTGTTTGCAAATACCATCTTTGCATTCATCTTTTTTATTGTCCTGCTAGGCAGATAGCAGGACAGAACAGATCACCCAGTAGGACTGGGAAGTTATTGAGGGCGTAAAACTTAGCATGCATATCTAAGCAGGCCGCGGGTTGGTACTGAGAGACTACTTAGGGAGAAACAAGGGAGAACTCTGGATGTAGTCAAGAAGCATAAACCAGAGATTGACAAATGTTTTCTATAAACATTCAGATATTAAGTATTTTTGGCTTTGTGGGCTGTGCAGTTTGTCACAGCTGTTCAATTTCTTTTCTTTTTCTTTTTTTTTGAAATAGAGTCTCACTCTGTTGTCCAGGCTGGAATGCAGTGGCACAATCTCTGCTGACTGTGACCTCTGTCTCTCAGGTTCAAGCAATTCTCCTGCCACAGCCTAGTTGGGATTACAGGCACCTGCCACCATGTCCGGCTAATTTTTGTGAGAGAGGGTTTCATCATGTTTGCCAGGGTGGTCTCAAACTCCTGACCTCAAGTGATCCACCCACTTCAGCCTTTCAAAGTGCTAGGATTACAAATGTGAACCACCATGCCTGACCATAGCTACTCAGTCTTGTGGTGTGTTTGGATGTTCCTTCAAAATGTTATGTTGAGCTGTAATCCCCGATGTTGGAGGTAGGGCCTGGTGGGAGGTGATTGGATCATGGGGTGTATCCGTCATGAATGGCACCATTCCTTTGGTGATAAATGAATTCTGGCTCAATTCACATAATATCTGATTGTTCAAAAGAGTCTGGGACCTTCCTATTCTGTATCTCTTGCTGCTTCTCACCATGCAACTTGCCTGCTCACCTTCCATCATGATTGTAAGCTTCCTAAGGCTGTCACTAGAACCCCAGCAGATGTTGGTGCCATGTTTGTATAGCCTGCAGAACCATGAGCCAGTTAAACTTTATGAATTACCCAGTCTCAGGTG